CAAGGAGTCTAGAGAGAGAAAGCAATACCGTTCTAGAGAGAGGAAACGTGAAGAGGAGGAGAAGCCCATCAAGAATCAACCACCCTCCCCCCTCTCTCTATCTCTCTCTCTCTGTCTCTATCTCTCTCTCTCTCTCTGTAATAAATAAAAATCTGATCTTTGGCAATTACTGCGATTAATCATTCGATCTCCACCAAACTCATGGAGATGCGCAAATTGATGAATATAATATGAGATACATGTAATAATATAATGTGTGTATGTGTGTGTGTGGTGGAAATTGTACCGTGATTTTCCGAGCTCCGGCGGAGGCTGGGAATGGTGAGAAAGGTCAAGTTTTGTTAAACTGCGCTTGGGGTCCTAAATATTACGGGAAATTGAAGAGGGCCGCCGGACACGTGGAGGTCTTATTTGACCTGAACTAACGTCGAGCCGAGTGGAGTAGCTCGTTCGAATTTGCGCTCGTTTCATTAGTATTAGGTGTGTTATTCGAATCGAGTAAAGTTGAGTATCTCTCATTAGAATTTGTGCTTGTTTAATAAACAAATTGGCTTGACTTTTCTTGACTCTGAGTAGCTCAGCTCGTTTAATAATCCCTTAAACGAGTGGATTGTGAATGTAAAATGTTTGTTCGCAAACAAGTAACTACACTAATTCATTTAAGACAGTATTTTCGTTTGAGATTTGAGTGACATTTCAATAATTTATACTACCTCCTGTTCATTATAAATGTCGTTTTGACTTTTGTGATTCATCCATTTTATTATGTATCTAGACATTAATATGTCCAGATACATAACAAAATGGATGAATCACAAAAGTCAAAACGACATTTATAATGAATAGGAGGGAGTAATATTTATAGATTTTACATGAATTCTTGAAAATCATAAGGTTTGAGGTGGAATTTGAGGTGAGACTTTGTAATATTTTTTTTATTTATGAAATCTTAAGTGAGACTTTATGAAATCTTTTAAAAAAAGTCCTTGAAAATTTTACTGTCGCATAAATAAAGTACATCGTGATTCGTTAAGCTTTTTTGAAATATCAAGTTATTGCCTCGAAACGCATATAAGTCGTAAAAAAAAAAATTAAATTAAATACAACATGATTTTTTTAAATCTCGACAAGTCTTTAATCATTCATAATGAATTGATTAAAAAATAATAAAACTATGTTTGCCAACCAAATAAGTTATATTGGCTAGCTTACAAGATTTCATCAATATTTAAATACGTTTCATTTGGTAGGACGAGCTTTTTAGAAAACTCGAGCTTATTTCACAAGTTTCTTTGGGTAGCTTTTCAAATATGGAATTTTTTATTTCAACTAGTTTATCAACTATGTTTATCAAACATTTTTATCATATAAGCTACATTTTCAACAATAAGTCATAAGCTATAAGATATTTAAACTAAAAATTAACTTAAAAAAATATATGTTATTTTATCCGCTATTAGTTAAGTTTATTAAACATAGCCTAACTCAACTCGTATAATAAACGAGTGTAATTAAGTGTTAGAGTTCAACTCAGATTAAGGGGATGAATGGATATAAATTTTTTTTGGTTTTGTTTGAATTTTTTAATTTAATTTGGTTATTTTTTTACAAAAAAAAGTAGTATGGTTAGTTGTTAGTGAATATATTAAAATAATAGTTACAATACAATAATTTAAGTTGATTTGATGTAAAAAGTAAGAGAGAGAAGCTGAAGTGATGGTTAGTCAAAATTATATGAGAGGATGAATAGTAAATTAAAGATGATTTGTTTTGTAAGAATGAGTGATTGATATTATTTAATTATAATAAAATATTGATAATAATAAAGTTGAGTTAAAATTGAGTTAAAAAAATGATTGAGTTAAAAATAATTGAATTTTTTTGAGTTAAATAAGTCGACGAGTCAAACACGAGCTTTCAAATACTGATTGGTTTAATTTAAGAGCTTTAAAGTGGGGACCACACGTGTTTGAGGAAAATGAGTGTGAATAATGAATAAATTGTTTTCTAATTTTGGATCATTATTTGTTGATGACATTTATAATGAAGTACACCTGTCTTAACCTCTCACAGTACACATATATTAATTGAGGAAAATATCTTTTTTCACCAACTTGTATTTTGATTTACCTTTTCGCCATAAAAAGATAAGTTTAATTTTGATATAACTAATGAGATATGAACTAAAAAGAAAGACAATGAGGGCATCTCTAATGGTAATAGCTATTACTAGCTATATGGTTAGCTGACGTGGATGTGAGAGATAAGAAAAATAACTATTTTACACTATTGGACCCACATACTCCTCTCACATGATCTTGGGCTACGTGAAATAGATAAACTATTTGTTAGTAGCTAGTGACTACTCTCTCTCTTATTTTTTCCCTGTCCACGTCATAATAGTTAGCCAAATAGCTAACCATTGGAGAAGCCCTGACCGGCACGAAACGAAATACGAAAACGACACAACACAATCAAAAAATACGATTACAGAGATAAATAACATTCTAAAACACGACACGAAAAGACTAAATTTAAATTTTAATACATTTGGACTTATTATGATATTTTGATCAAATAAAATACATGAACAAAATGATAATTTGGGCACTATTGACTGTACAATGCAGTTCAGGTGTACCTTATAATGGAACTATAAATAAACACATCATATTTTGCAGCTACAGTTGGTCCAAAAATGAATTAAAGACACCCTGTATCCTTTAATAAATATTGATTACATTATTAAATCTAGTTATCAGTTAAGTCAAAAAGACTCCTTTTCATTTCAATTTCTATCTTTTTGACGGTTATTTATTTTCTATATCATTATCCCCTTATTTCCTCTGCTTTTCTTCATCGTCTCATTTCTCTCTCTTTTATTTCTTCTCTATTTTCTCATATCATTCTCAGATTCGCCCAAAAATTACATCGGTTACACCCAAAAAATTTGGCTTGATTTCGCCGGCGATTGTCCAACACTTTTTTCCTAGTGGGTGGATTCGCACCGTCGATGCCTTCTCTTCGGCTTTGAAAAATCCGACGGAGTTTTCTCCTCACCAAAAAATGATACCTTCGAATCCGATCAGTCCATGGAGTAGGCCACATGCAGTCTTAGGATGACGATTCCCTTGCTGGTAATTTGATGTTCAATTTTACCATTTTCTGTGTTTGATTTCCTTCAATTGGTTGTGTATTTTGAGGAAAATAACACTTTTGAACTTTTTTTATATGTTTGTTATTGACTTGTGTTGTGAAATGGTTGATTTTTTTTTTCTACAGTTCATCTTCTTCCACAAAGAAGAGAAAAAAAAATTGCAAAAATTGTGTGTATTGTGTTTGTGTAGGCTACTATTGTGTTTGCCCTATTCTTTTTTTCTCTCTGAATGAAAATCAATTTATTCTCACAGTACAACATTTGAGATATTAAAAGGCGAAAAAAAAAACCACCTGGAAAATTGTATCTTTGCAAAAATTATATATATATATATTATTTTTTTTTCTTTGCAAAAGTTACATCTGTCATTATGTTTGTATGTGTTGCTATGTTGATTGTTTAATTGTTGAAAGATAGTGGTGGACTCATTGTATGGTGAGTTATATGTCCTGTATTTTTGTATGTGTAATTAATATTTTTTGGATATTTTTTGTAGTATGTTGGAGTCTTTATGTGTTCTCAGTTTATAATCTAGTGATGCTCTGGACAAGGCAGTTGCAATTTTGATTCTAGTCCTCAAAATTGTTAATTTTTTTATTGTTAATATAAAGTTGTTTTCATGTTGTTTTACCGATGTTATAATGTTGTTTTATTGTTACTTGTATGTTTCTCATAATATATTGTTAATTTTTCAAGTTACAAAATAAACATTTGTGTTTTTTTTAGTTAATTTAATTAATTGTTATGTATGTGTATACTTAGCTGATCATTTTTTTAATTATTTCTTTGGTATTGCAATTCTTAGGATTCATTTTGAAAAGACGGAAAAGAAGAAGAAACATGAAAAGAGATGAGACACATGAAATCAGATGAAGAAAACGGAAAGAAGAAAAGAGAGAATACATGGACACGTGAAATCAGATGAAGAAGAAAAGGGAGAGAAGAAAAGAGAGAAGACGTTGAAACGTGAAGAAAATAATAGAGAGAAGGAAGAAAGAAAAAGAGGATGGAGAGAATAATTAATTATTGAATTTATTATTAAATTAATTTTATGTAACTTCCCATTGTAACTGTTTACCATTGTAACTGTTTGTATTATTTTGGAATGAATAAAGGTAATTTTAGACTTCTC